GTCAAAATCTTATTTAGATTTTTGCTGTTTATTCAGATTCTTTAAATTCTTAAGCTTATGATTAAATTTTTATTTTGTTCAGGACTGAAGGCAGACTCAGCCAGCATTTTCAAACTTGTCATTCCAAAGGTCTTTAATAGCTTAGAAGTAGTTAATGAGCAATTTCCGAAAGTGATTACAAAGTGAGGTTTGTGAACCTAGTGTCCTTTAAGAGTGTCTGCTGTGGTTACAAGCAAGAAGGCTAATACCATCTCCTGGCACTCAAACCCACTGTTGTGCAATCTCCTCATGAGGAACAGCTGTCCAGAGCAACATGAAGGTGATCACCCATCTTCTCCTTATCCAGAGAGGTTCCAAGGAACCAGTCTACTCACTGGTTCCTTGGTCTTTGTTGCTGTTATCTGCTCCACTTTCACAGAGCCATCTTCAGTTTGTCATACCTCCCCTGGAAGTCTCCTATACCTGGATATTCTTCTATGGAATTTGTAGGTACAGTCCAGAATCCATTGTTCCTTCAATGACAGTGATGGTCCGGAGGCTACAAAGTACCCAACACCATGATACTCCCATCATTATACTTTATGGTTCTTTTGTTGAAATTTAGTGTTTCTCATTAATGTTGCAAAGTTCCACTTTTGTCTCATCTGTCCACAGAATATTGAATAGCCATCCAAGTGATCTTTGGTAAATTTGAAATGGGCAGCAGTGTGCTTTCAGGAAAGCAGTAGTTTTCTCCTTGGTATCATCTCACGCTTACTATCCTTGTGCAGCTTTTTCTTTATGGAGAACCCATGAACACTGATTTTAGAAAATGTAAAAATGACTTGCAAATTGTCATTACCCTAGGGTTCTATGCAACCTCCTGGAGTACTGTATGTCTTGCTCTTGGGATGACTTTTATTATATAACCACTCCTAGGAAGAGGAGCAATGGTATTACATTGTCTCCCTTTGTACACTATCTGACTGTGGATTGATGGAGGTGAAAGCCTTTGTCAATGGGTTTGTAGCTCTTTCCAGACTCATGGGCATTAATAATCTTTTCTATGAAATCCACATACATCTTTTTGGGTTAGGGCATGATCTAGTTCTACAAGCCTGCTTGTGAAAAGCAGATTTCAGGGGTGGAAACTAATTTATGTTTATTTAATAGGGTAGGGCCATTCAAACTCATACCTGACTGAAGTTGCACTGACTGGACCATCAGATTCAACTTACTCCCTTAAGACGGCTGAATATTTTGGGCCTTCACATACTTTTTCTAGTAAAAACAGTAAATGTTGATTCAATGTGTTCAGTAAAAACATGACATGATTAACTATTCTGGAGGTTGTCTGTTTAATCAAAATCTCTTTATCTATTAATAGGACTAATATGAAGCTCTGATTGCATTGCAAGTCATAGTGCCGAAGAATTATGGATAGTTCTAATGGGTTCACATTTTTTTATTACAACTGTATTAACAGATTCAGTGTAGAAAAATAATCTCTTATTCCCTTGTGCTGAAGCTGTTAGGACTAATAGATACAATTGTTAAACTGATCTTTATTGTTATAACAATAAAGGCTCAATAACATACATGATTTGCAACTCAACTCAATTTTCCTTTTATTAATTGATTCATTCAAATTGTCAAATGAAGCTTTCACTTATCTGTTGAAGGGCTTTCAGCTGCTGAACGTAAACATAGGCAAAATTCTTTTAGCTTGTATTATCACACTGGCTAATACAAAGAGAGTGATTGTTAGATTTTATCACAGTTTAACCATGGTTGAAGAATTTGTTCAGAGCATGGTCTCATGCTAACATGAGACGTTTATTCCAAAAGGTAAAGGTAAAGACTCCTAGTGACATCTGGCAACAATTAGGGAAGCAGTTCCACACCTCTTTTTCTGGGACGTTTTTCAACTTCCAGTCTCATGGTCTTGGAATTTCTCCTACCCAAATGTTAATCTGGTACAACACTCCTACATTTCTTTGAAACCAGCCAAATTGGGCTGGTCTGCCACTTGCTAAGGTTAGAATTAGTATGCATTTCATTAATACAAAATTAACATTGGGAGAATTTTCCAGAGTGCAATATAACCATCTGCTAAGAAAGGTAAACATCCAAGAATGGAACTATGTAGTTCTATTTACATGCACTTGCTTGGACTCCTTCAGAGAAAAATAACCCAAAAATAAAACGCCATAAATTAAAATAACCCATAATTTTATAATCTGTTCCCTACATGATGGCTTAGGGCAACTGTATGCTTGTGGACAGTTTCCCCAGTGCTCACAGAATTCCTGCCCCACCTTTCTTTTTACATGTTTAAAACATGATTTTAATGAATGGGAAGCTAGCATGCTGAAAAGCAAAAGTAAGCTTCAGCCTTACCTTTTCTTTTCAAGAATGTTTCCAAGTCCCAAATGGGCCCCATAAGCTTTCTTTGAAAATAAAAATGATGGTTGACTGCAACCTCTTTCTTTCTCTGAAACTGGGTTCACCTGTCTAGAAAAAGTTCAAAGGTAAGCAGGGATAGCAGGGAGTGTTCTACTGAAGGAGAGCCAACAGAGTTCTGAGCAATAGACGTTCTGTAACTGATAACATCCCACCTGATAGCCATTTTGTGACTGAGCAAGACCCTGCCATTTTCAACAGCACCTGTGGTTTTCAAAATTCCAAATTATACCCACCAGCCTAAAATGATTGAGCTTCCTGATCTAGCCATTCAAATTTTGCCCAGGTAATCTCCTCCTTAATAATCTCCTGCTTATTGTATGGCCAGCTTCTAGAAAAATGATCTCTGTAAAAATTTAGGTGCTATCACAAATTGCATGTTTGATCACATGTGAAAACTTCAAAACGGAAAGCTTTACTTTTACGGTTCACACCAGCTCTATAGTATATTAAGTCTATTACTGAATAAATGCCCTGTGAAGACAAAATGGGGGCAACCTGGTCTGAAAAACTGATAAGAATGTACAGCAGTACCTCGGTTCACGAACGCTTCTGTTCACGAACAATTCGGTTCACGAACAGCAGCGTTCGCAAAAATTTGCTTCTGTTCATGAACTCCGCATCAGGT